CTGGTGAAAATATTAATGACCGCTGCAATTTAGAGTTTACAAAGATAAATGACCCGTGGAAAACGATGAGTTTAATTACCTTTATACCAAGAAAACTAAAAAGAGTAGCCAAAACGAGCACTAATCAACTCGAACCTACTTGGAAGTATATATTTAAGGTTTTACTGCTAGGCTATAGAGAATAATTGAACCTGTAGATACAAATATATTTATTTCTATCTAGAATATGGAAAACCCCTAAAATAAATTTCCGTATAATTCTCGCGTAATTAATTAGGTGTTAGGTCTTGTCCAACTGCCCGATTAACGTCTAGCGAAATTTTGAACATTGGTCAAATGTAGTTCGTTTCCTACACCATACTGTCACAATATACTATTATACTTAATTAATCAACTTTATTAAAGTGTTGGTTATTTGGCTCTTTCGGTTTAATTGGTGTTATTTAGTTTGGAGTTTTGACTGCCGAAACTTGAAGTAGTCTTTAATCTTTATACATGCACCGTCTAGCCTCTTGTGAGTTCCTACCTCCACCTTTTCAATCTGAGTACTGTTCAAAAGCTTTGAATGGTCGGCATTTATACTCTTTTTCTTTTATCATATATATATTCGACTGAAGCTGTAATCTTCTCTAGTCGGGATACAACCTTTAGTAATATCTAATTATCATCGCTCTGCAAAAGGTGGACTTGAACTACGGTGGCAATTGGCAAAATTCAACTACTTTTAAGATTAAAAGATCTAGAAATAATGTGTAACTTGGTTATCAAAATAAAATAAAAAATAATATGTAACTTTGTTTTCCCATAGCTTCGATTACCATTAAAAAAATTATTTCATAATTATTTTGCAACAAATTAAAATAATAACACGCTTAATTCAATTAAAAAATAATTGTTGAGTAAACTATTTGACACCTATAACCACTGTGAAAGTTAATTGAATTTCGGTTCGAATATTCATCTATAATTAAAACGAAAAAATGTTTGATATTGGTAATTATTTTTCTCGAAATTTAGGCTCTAACTATTAATTTTTAGATCGAGCAAGATCGAACCATTATGCTAGGACACAGCTAGTCCGATCAAATTGGCTGACTACTTTTTTGTATATAATTTGCTTTTTCATATTTTGGCTCAATTTCGACTTGAAAAATAATAATTGAAAACGTTTTAAAATGAATCTTATGTGTATAGACATAATCTTACGTTCTGAAGAAAGGAGTAACCTTTCGAAATCAAAATTGGTTAGTAGTTATACCTTTTCAATTGTTTTTTTTTTTTTTGTCAACTAGTTAAGTAGAATAGTAGTTACAACTTTCTATCTTCTTTAAGTACTCTTAATATAAACCGAAACGTGTACCAAACAATGACCATGACTATGACCATAACACGGAAACTCTAGATATCAAGAAAAAGTCTTCTTAGCCGACTTCTTCTCTTTATCTCACCACTTGCTCACACGTGTACTAGGTCAAACCAAACGTGCCCAACTTAAAAAAACCGAAAAAAAAACATTTAGATACTTCTTTTTGTCACACAACTTTGGTCCTCACATATGTATTAGCCACCACCATCACTCTTTCACACACTTTCCCACCACTTGTCACGCAACTTCCTCTCCATACTCCACCTACTATTATATATATTCACACACTCATTCACTTCTTCTTATTCAACAAATTCTTCAACTTTCTTTCATTACAAAACCTCAAGAGACATCTTCAAGATTCAACAAACTCTTCCATTCAAAAGCCCCTCAAGAGATATTTTCAAGATTTGTAACCTAATGGCACTCGAAGCTCTTACTTCGCCGAGATTAACTTCTCCAATTCGTCCTTTGTTTGAAGATTCTTCTTTAGGTTTCCATGGAGTGGAGCACTGGACTAAAGGAAAGCGATCTAAGAGATCAAGATCCGATTTTCACGACCAGAAACTCACCGAGGAAGAGTATCTCGCTTTCTGCCTCATGCTTCTCGCTCGCGACGGAGACCGTCACCGTCAACCTCCGCTTCTTCCGGCTCCGGTGGCTGAGAAGTTGATGTACAAGTGTAGCGTCTGCGACAAGGCGTTCTCATCTTACCAAGCTCTTGGTGGTCACAAGGCGAGCCACCGGAAAAACTTATCACTATCTGGCGGAGGAGATGAACAATCCACGTCGACGGCCACGGTGACAACCACATCCGCCGTGACTACCGGAAATGGGAAATCACACGTTTGTTCTATTTGTAACAAATCTTTTGCCTCCGGTCAAGCTCTCGGTGGCCACAAGCGGTGCCACTATGAAGGGAACAATAGTAGCGTCTCAAATTCCGAAGGAGCCGGATCCACCAGCCATGTCAGCAGTAGCCACCGTGGGTTTGACCTGAACATCCCGCCGATACCGGAATTCTTGTCGGTCAACGGAGACGACGAAGTCATGAGCCCTATGCCGGCGAAGAAGAAGTCTCGGTTTGACTTGTCGGAAAAACTTCAACTTTAGATGATCAGATTCTTTTGCTCTCTCTTGTTTTGAGTTATTTAGGAATTTGTTGACTGTACATAACAATTACGACTTTGATTGATTCCAATTCTTGTTCTTCGTTTTAGTTAAAAGTGTTAAATTGATTCTTTTACTAGATATCTAAATAGACACATGTTACAATTTATAAATCTTTAAAAGTTTTATTTGAATAAAGTGAATTCCACTATAACTCTGTTTTTGGTTCTGTTTTTTAAGTTTTCATACTCAAAACTCCTACGCATAACCAAGGACAAAATTCTTTCTTTCTACTTTATCCCATCAGTTACACCCGCATAAGAAAAAGTTACGCCAAAAATATTTATGCACTTTCATTTGCTGTTAAAGAATCAAGAAAAAAATATTTTAATTTTATTTCGGTTGAGAAAAACGTTTTTGTTAACGCGGGCTTAACTTCTTTAATTACCTTTGTTAACGCGTAGGTTTATTTTGACCAAAAATGGAAAAAGATTAAAGATGTTTTAGACTTTAGACAATGGAATAAGTTCGAGACACACATCTAGAATTTCAATGTAAATTGTATAACTACTTTAACAAAAACAAAAAATCTAGTAGATTTAACATATCCACAAGTTATGCTGAAACGGAGATAGAATTTGAAACAAAGAACTCTAATAACCAAGGTCTCATGGCTCGGTGGTAACTCCCAAGTGAAAGAGTTT